CTTGCCATTCCGGGATGTAGCCGCTCCTAGAGTCATGAGTCTATAATGGTCCCCTAGATCCGCTTGGGAATTACGTTTAATCCTATTTTCAGAAGAGTCCTGTTGGCAACCCTTGTTGTGGTACGTGCTCAGCAACATTTTGGGGATGCGCAACCAACATTTCTCTTGATAATCCAGTGATCATCTCCATTTCGGTTTTCGGGGCTTCCTAGGCAACAGTGACCGTTCAGGATTGGTGAATTCCCGCTAAGTTTTCCCAGTGTGAAAGGCATTGAGAAGATCTTGATGAATTGTTGAACGTGTCCGAGACATTTTCGAAAGTGCTAGCCAAGCAGGCGCTCGGCCATTTTCTGCTGCATCTCAGGCAAGTGACTCTGGAGATCGTCGCAGTCAAATCACTGCATTGCAGGCGCTCGCTGAGAAACTTGTAGTGTAGGATGTGCTATGCACAAAAATCTGCCGGAGTGATGCGCATCAGCGTTGTCCAAGATTGGAGTGGGGGCTTCGTGATAGTTGTGCAGGCTTTCGGAGACATATCGATGAAACTTGGTGGGGCTCTTGAAGGAAGTGCTTACAAGTACAGTGAGGCCTCAGTCACGCAAGAGGCTGGAAACTTAGGCCACACTTTCGATGCCATGGAAGCCTCCAAAGAGGCAATTGCTGCGGCCTTGGATGTGCCGCGCGTTTCAAGTGAGCGCAATTGTCCGTTTGCACTCTGAGGAATACTGCCGCTTTGAAGGCTTGGTGCACCAGGAAGCAGCCAGGGACTCATGGTGTCATGGGGTCGCCAAATGTCGCAAAGCTCAGCCGTGCTTTCCAGACCGCTCCTAAGGCAGCCTTGATGACTCTGGTGGCTGCACGCCTTGCAAATGCCAGGAGCTAAAGGAAAGAAAGAGCGAGAAAGAGCGAGAAAGAGCGAGAGAGCTGGAACAAAAGTTATAACAAGCTTATGAAAGCTGATAAAAGCTGTTAAAGGCTGAGCCCAGCGAAGCACTGCGAGCTGCAAAAGAGGCCCTGACCCTGAGCTACATCGCTTTTGGCTGTTGGTGTACTGGGGGTCACAACTCTGAGGCACACGATCGCGCTCGAAGGCACAATTTGTTTGCCTGTCGCAACTTTTGCACAGCTGTCGACAGCTGTCCAGAGCTTGTATGCCTGCGGCAATGTGACGCAACTCGCTCATTGTAAATTCGATGTTTAGCTTCCATGACTCCTCGGAGTACTTGCGAGCTCGATCACTTGCGGGTGCTGTGGGCTCCGTGTAGGTCATTAGCGCAACAGCGTTTGCAGGGATCATGCTAAGGTGGGATCCGTTCGGTCTACTTGGAACATCCCCCTAAGACTAACAACATCTGGCGCCAGGCACTGAATCATGGGTTGTCTGTTCGACAGGGACACTCTGTGTATGGGAGCTGGGCAGCCCACGGACATTCTTTGACGGTTGGCCCTTCGAGGATATGGGATTCTCTGCGGACAGTTTTTTTGTTCAGGATACTCTGCGGGAGTTTCTGCGGGAACCTCGGAGGCAGAGGCACTCGCGTCTGTTGGTGGACAGCTGAAGCCTTCATAGCTTCGAAACACCCCAAAAAAACACACCAGAGCGATGAAGACCCAGCCAACGAGAAGGGCAAACGGCAAACATCGCTCTCACACGAGACTCCAAGTTGGAGTCTCCTCGGATGTCTCCGGTCCAGAGCGGCGGAGCCACAGCAGAGTGGAAAAACCGCTCTCCCAAGGCCAGTGTGCCACATCTCTCCGCTGCGTAGAACAGCGCCCCAAGACGAGTGACCCCAATGGCCAGCAGACCAATCAATAGTCAATAGTCACGAACGGCACGTGGCCCGTCCAGCCCAGCCTCCGTCTGCACAACCACTGTCAGGAGCACTCGCACCACCGCCAGCACCGTGATCGGGCACAGCATCAGCCTACCGGGAGCGTGCGTAGAAACGGGTAGGCCCATCGGTCTCAGACAGACACAGTCCTGGAGCGACATTTGCTCCGCTACCACGACAAATGTTGGGGATGAGGAAAAGACCCTTGGCAATTTCCCGGTGCTCGACGCTGAGATATCGAAGCCTGCACAGATATTGCTTCTGTGCTCCATGCTCGTGTGTCCTAGTAGCTGTCCTTCGTACTCGCCTGTCCTGGCAGCTGTCCTCCATTATTCGCTCTTCCATTAAAGTGTTTCGAGTGCGGGAAAGAACGGAAAATACAGTTATGTGTGTTCTATACATATATATGCACATGGTCTTTCCATATATATATATATATGGTACAATATAGGCGGGTGCGGATTTAAGACGCCCCCCTCTGCCCGAACTGCCGCGCCTCACAACCCCTACGAATCGTGTCCACTGGATCTTCGCTTTACCGTCCTCTCTCGTGATGGCATTACAGAAGCTGTCCGCATCAGCAGAACAAGGTTAGCCCGAACAATCCACCATGACACCAGTTTGCATGCCTTCGTTCACGCAATGCTCATCCATATTCGACGCCAGGTTGGTTGTGATGAATGAGCACGTACAGCACAGGGATCTGCTTGCTGAGTGGAACGCGGGGCAGGAACAAAGTCCGTTTCACGAGCATCAACAGATTTTGAAACATCGGCGTGGCTTGGGGGCACTTGAAAGACATGACCTGCCCTGCCTTGCGGACCACGACATTTGGTGCAAACGTATGGCCGAGTACCAGGCTTGGGCCCGTCTATGAGCAAACCAACTTCAACGCACCAGTCAAAAGCCGTCTGCTCGGCATCCACACCATGTAGCAGCTCGTACAAACTTTTGCCACGTTTCCTCTTGGAATGCTTTCTTTGATGTCGACGCTTTCCACGATTGGCACGGTCGGGGGAACACTGCGCATGTCCTTGTACAACGGAATGTTCGGTGTAAAAGCGTCTACTAAATCATTGCCATCAGCCATCTCTGCGCAGGTGCAGTTTACCTAGCCCATACTAGTACATACATAAATACATGCGTACATGAAGTGAAACCACAGCAGAGATTGCAAAACAGCAACATGGTCATGCATAACAGCGTTTTGGTTTCGCAAATGTATGGTCTAGGTAGGGCAAGTTTTTGGGTAAGAGGGTAGGATATCAGCGGCTGCTCAGGGGGCGGGGCCGAGGGCGGCATCGGCGTGTTGGGCTTGTCGGGAGGCACAAGAACCGGATTCTGGAGGGGTTCTTCGGTGAAGGGCGGGGGGCCAGGGCATTCGCTTTTTGGGCTTGTCAATCATGTCACTGCTGGTCAGAAAGAAGCACGAGAGTGTCTCTAATTGTAAGACGAGGAGGGCGCAACGGTCGAATCGAAACGATCTTCGGCTGTTTGTTGAGTGATGAAAAACTTGGTCCTGAGTTACAAGACTGTAGAGAGACTGTACAGACAGTCGCCTGCATTCAGTACGCTGTATCCATCGATCTGCCGTCGTTGTTGATCACTGTTTCCTCAACTGCCTGACCGTGCATCATGCCGTTCAACATCAACTGCCTGAATCGCACACCAGCATGGAACTGGTGCCCATAGTGCCAAGTAGGACGATGGCACTGTGGCCATTCAACTGTTGTCCCACAGCGCTGGGCGGAATGCATTGAGACAGCTCACTTGGTGCATGCCAACCGTGAGGAACGAGAAAGCTGCAAGGCCTGTGCTGCAGTCGAATGTTGCGGGCACCGCGCAGCAGCCCCTGATGCTACCCGCTTCGGTTACCTCGCTCGCAAATGTTAAGCCCGGCCGACGGTTCGGCTGAGGGGCGAACGGTGAGTGTGTGTAAGTGCTGCCAGAGACATATCAGTCACAGCTGCCGCTGCATCCCTTGTTGCCTTGTCTTCGCAACTACTGCATATCTCTACTGTTCCTACCATACCGTCCCTTCCCCCGCTCCCCCCTCCGTCCTGTTCTGTCCCGTCCAGTCCCGTCTGTTGTCCCGTCCGTCAAACCAGCCGGCGGACATCGAACGGAAACCGGCGCGCATCCATAGATTACATATGGTCTTTCGTTGTCATGGTGACTTTTTCGTTGTTCGCCAGTATTATCTCAAAGGCACTGTTTGGTGACTGCTTTCGCAGGGAGAAAGCATAGAATCTCAGAGTGTAGGAAGTGACTCTGGTGAACAGGCTTGGCAATCCTCGCTCTGAAGCTGCGTCCCTCGTGGCCTGGCTTGGGAAACACTTGAAGTTCAAATATGTTCAGGGTCAGGCTGAGGGCATTTTCTCGTGGAAGGAGTTTGGAGATTTTGGAGATATAAGAGGGAGCTGAAAGAAAAACGTCACGGCCCAGAGTGCGGCCCCTGCTTTAGATACTTTAAAGTAGGAAGGTGACAGTCCTGTTGAAGAAGAGTTGGTGCCAGACACCACCATTCCTGCAACTTTCGATGGACATCACATTCACGGTTTGTATAAAGTTGAAAGGGAGACTGTTGCTTCACAGCCACAGCCAGCTGTGCAATGCTCGGTGACATGTTGGGGTTCTCAGGAGGCTGTTGCCAGCGCCGCGTGCTCGGCTTGTAGTCGGGCGCGTTGCGCATTGCGACTCGCATGCGCAAGCATGCGCAAAGCATGCGCAAAGCATGCGCAAAGCATGCAGAAGTCTGCTCGCCGAGGTCTGCTTGCACATCAAGGCGCCAGCGGAGGCCATCCAGGCTTGGAAGATGCTCTCTTACGGAGTCTTACAGAGTCTTTCAGAGTCTTGCCGAGCCTTTGACTGTAGTGGCCGGTACAAGAGTTTCCGGGGGCTGTCCGGTGACGTGTGTCACAGGCTCTCGATGGCGCGCAGCTTCACTACAAGAAGCTCAAGGCGGAATGATGAGAATGAGAAGATGTAGCTGGTGTAGCTTGGTAGGAATGCTTCTAGTCTCGGTCAGGACAGAAAGAAGGAGGGCGCTGTGGTGAACATGGCCTCATCCTTAAGTCTGTTCTAGGAGACGGACACCTTGATTCTTCGGCTTAAGTTTCAGTATGCTCAAGGTGTCTACTTCTGAATTCCTCTGAAACTCAAGCCGAAATGGGGCATGGGGCGGGGGGGGGCGGGGAGGGCCTCGCACTAGTACAAGGCAGTTTTTCGCACTCTCAACTTTCTCTTCCAACATCTTTGGATGAGTTGGCGCGATTCTTCACTGGAACTCAGGCTGTCAAGGCGCAGCTCCTGGCTGGTGATGCTGCAGCAGCACTGCGTGCAGCGAAGGAGGAGCTCGGTTTCGGCGTTTTGGTTGTGCTGTTTCAAAAACAGCCAGTAGCTTGCGAGAGCAAAGCTGCAGATGCTTGCAGGCGCGTGCTTTGGCCAGAGAGCTGCGCGATCGGAAGGCAGAGGCCGAGGCGCAGCAGTGAAGACAGAGAGATGCAGGGGAGATGCAGTGGGAGGTGTTGAAGGGACTGGCTCATTGGCTCTCAGCTGCAGGCACTGGATGCAGCGTCCCAGGCAAGGTGCCACGTGCTTGTTCACGACGAAGCTGCCGTCAGGGGCTCTATGTATTTCCTCAGGTTCATCTGGCCAAGCGAGACTACTTTGAGGCTCTCGACTGCGCCAAGAGTGGAGCCCTGAGCACTGCGGACATAGCATGGCACGTAGCATTGCTCCATAGCATTTTTTCCACATTGCTCCATAGCATTGCCAGAGCTTCGCGGTTCGAAGCTTAACTGGAGTAACCCGGGGAGTGGCCACTCCAAAGCTCACCTGCCCAAGTTGCTAATCTACCTGCCAGTGTTTCTAGAGGTGTGCAGGAGATTAATTTATCAACGTAGAGCGTCAGCGCAGCTTTCACCAGCTCGGATGGTGGAGGCATGGCCAGCCTGTATGATGAGCTTCAGGAGGACAAGCTTGCGGCGAAGGCACCGCGCAGCGGTAAGCCAGAGCCATACTCAGAACTTAGATGAACTAAGAACCGCCCCAAGAATCAGGCCAAGCAGCTGCTGACCTCAATATACCTGGCCAAGGGAGATGCTAGAGCTCCGTGGCATGCAACAGGGGGAGGCTCTCGTCATACAAGTGCATAATCACACAATGGCATGGTGGCGCAACCCAGGCTGCGATAGATGCTGGTGTCTTCCTTACATCCGCTATGCAGAGCAGTGCTTGCACTTGCGATATAAGCGCCGACTGATGAGAACCATGGCAGCCACGGCCATGAAGAGTCATCAATGAAAGAAGCCGCTCTTGTCGGAGTTCGGCGCGAAGGTGAAGATGCGGTCTCCACCTTTCAGAAACTGGAGGAGCTGTCATCTGAGGCTGCGACACTTTGCTCGGGAAATCTTAACGGTGCATGGTCTGGACGTTGGATTAATTGTATGAAGTGTCATTGGGGACAAGGGCATTCGGAGTTGTAGAAGAGCAGTTTTTAGTCAAGAAGGCGAGACGCGTCTTGAAACCTGAAAAGGCGGTTGCCCAACATCTCTGTGCGCAAGCCTACTTGCAACGTCTGCGCCCCAACCCGGAGATCTTTTTGCATCTTTTTGCATCCATGCAAAGGGTCGCATTTCAGGCCACCACGACGATGAGAAGAGTCTAAAGCTCAATGGTGTTCTCATGTCTCTTTCCTCTGAGCAACTCCTTCAACTCCTTTCAGTCAGAGACAAGAGGCATCGGAAGGTTCGTCGACTTGCCAGGTCGCCAGCAGAATGGACTGAATCGCACCAGCTACCTCTCGCAGGACCGTTCTTTTGTGCGGAGATCGCATGCCTTTGCGTTGTGAGGACTTTCCAAACCACAATGTTGCAGGTTAGGGGACATGTCAGTATGTCATGTACTCCAGTGCGAGGATCCAGCTGAGGCAGTGCGGTCCCGTTCCGAGTTTCTGGATGTTAGTGGTTTCTTCATGCGTCCGTTGTTTAACGTTGTCGGCTGGTCGCGGGACCCGCCCACAGGCTGTGGCCCCATGGCTTGCAGGGAGTGAGATGGGTTGGTGTGGTGTGGATGGTGTGGTGGGGGAAGGAGACCAGATCCTGCTAGATGCTCCCGGGCAGAGGCCGAGGCAGCATGACCCGATCCACAATCGACCGCTTTGTGCGCCAACGCTTCGCTGCAATTCTCCTTGCTGTTGTTGATGCTGAGGTCTGCACAGCGCTCACGGCTGTTGTTCAAGCAGCTGGGGAACATCACCGGCGAGCTGGAGGTGCGTGTCGCAGCAACCGTAGCAGTTCAAGGGTGCGAAGTCGTCGGGGTGTAGAGACGCATCACCGTGCCAGTGTGGGAACGATAATTCGAAACAAAGAGAGATGCCGCTGCGTCTGCTTGAAACTGGGGGCACAGGGAAAACAACGTTTGGGTGAAACACCTGTGCTCCACAGCACGGTAGTGCCGTCATGTGCAGCACACCGAAAGAATGACGTGTGTTTCTCCCAAAGCCAACCCTGCGCAGCAGATAGCCCGAGATACCCACAGAAAGGCCACTGGTTGGCCGATAAGACTGCAGTTGTCCGATGAGGAGCCATCTCAAACGATCTTCCTTGAGATTCGCTGCGGAGGCTAAGTCTCAGTACAACCGCGGCAAGTGCTGCAGGATGGTATATGGCTGAAAGGATATGCGGAGGTCAAGCATGTGCGAGCGGAGCCGCGGTGTTCCAGTAAAGGCAGGAGCTTCTTCGCAACCCGCAGTTGCCACGGGCAAAGACCTAAAGCCGCGTGTGCAGGGGCGCAGCATGGACAGCTGTGATCTGGCGGCGCCGCCTCACAGCGTGCCCAGCTTCTCGCGACTGCGAGTGCCAACAGTATCCAACAGTTCGAGAAGGCGTGACTTGATCAAGGCAGTGCTGGCGGTCGTGGCAACCGCCTCAGCGAGCCGGTGCAGGAAAGCGGCAGCTGACTTGGAACAACCACCTTGATTTGAAACAAGCCTATCTTTGCTGTAGACGTATAGTTTAGGGCACATTTTCGCACGAAACGCCAGATTACAGTGGTCTTCACTTGCTCTTTCTGATTGCTCTGGATTCAAGGGGACGGCCTGGTCGATGCATTTCGTGCTGCGCGCGCATGAACTTTCACGATATTCACAGATGTCTTGCGCTGGCGCCGTCAAGCATGCCAGTGAGGTGGGCAAGGAATCAAGCGAGGAGCGTCGTGCATTCGGTGTACAAGTTTTTGAATGGGAGGGGCAGTGGAGCAAGTGGGATCTGAAAAAGAAGGGACAAGGCCAAGAAAAGAAACGAAGGTAGCAATCGTAAACTGGTGTAAACTCGCCGCAGTTGCGTGTACGTGCATCAATCGACTTCGCTCGAAGGTGATGGACACCCTGGCGAGAGCTCACATCCGGAAAGGAGAGGCCAAAGAAGGCAGCCGACTCAGCCCATCCTGTTCAGAGACCTCGCTCGTACACGTTGCTGGTGCAGGGCTGCGTGTGGCAGAGGACTTCCTGGCTGCTGCTAAGAAGGCAGGTGGAAGTAGCTTAGTTTTCCTGGCCTTGCTGGCCCGCAGATCAAGGGATTGATTAAAGCTCCTTCCCCGAACGTTATACACCTCAAGCGTTCCCTTAAATGTACCCAGAGCCCTGTAAGGGATCTGCAATAAGAATTCCCAAACCCAAGGGTACAACCTTGGGGGCCGAGTCAGGTTACAGGTTGGTCCACAGACAAGTAGGAGTCGTTTCTTACAACAGGTAGCTCGCTAAAGGTTTCCGCCAAGCCAGCTCATGTTTACGTGAAGTTACCTCACGCGTCTGAACTTGCCCAAGCTGTGCTCAACATGTCGTGCGCTGCTTGATCAGGCCCGAGATAAACCTGCAGAGGCCGATGGCTTGTTTTCGTGTCAATGCAGTAAGTCGGAGTTTAGTCCATTGACATCGGGCTAAGTCATCGATTCCTCACAGCAGTTGCGCCTCGATTTTTATTCTATTTCCCCAAACAGTTCTACTGTTGGGGTCCTAAATTCGTTTAAGGAATTGCCGGCATTCTGGTGAGCATTGCCGGGTTCCTGGGCACCATGTCTCCCTTTGTCTCCCTTTGTCTCCCTTCATGTGGGTGGCCTTTGGCGGGTTCCTGGGCTTCTTGTCTCCCCTTGTCTCCCTTCATCTTCATGTGGATGGCCTTTGCCGGCTCCCTGGACTTCTTGTCTCCCTTTGTTTCCCTTTGTCTCCCTTCGTGTTGGTGGCCTTTGCCGGCTTCCTGAGCGTCTTGTCTTCCTTTGTTTCCCTTTGTCTCCCTTTGTCTCCCTTTGTCTCCCTTTGTCTCCCTTTGTCTCCCTTCATGTGGGTGGCCTTTGCCGGGTTCCTGGGCGTCTTGTTTCCCTTTGTCTCCCTATGTCTCCCTTTGTCTCCCTTTGTCTCCCTTCATGGGCGTCTTGTCTCCCTTTGTCTCCCTTTGCTTTGCCGGGTTCCTGAGCGTCTTGTCTTTGTTTCCTTTTGTCTCCCTTCATGTGGGTGGCCTTTACCGGAATCCTGACCGTCTTCTCTCCCTTTGTCTCCTTTTGTCCTTTGCCGGGGTCCTGAGCGTCTAGTCTTTGTCTCCCTTTGTCTCCCTTCATGTGGGTGGCTTTGCCGGGTTCCCGGGCGTCTTGTCTCCCTGTGTTTCCCTTTGTCTCCCTTCGTCTCCCTTATGGGGGTGGCTTTGCCGGGTTCCTGGGCGTCTTGTTTCCCTTTGTCTCCCTTTGTCTCCTTTTGTCTCTCTTTGTCTCCCTCTCTCCGCTTGTCTCCCTTTGTCTCCCTTCTGGTGGGTGGCCTTTGCCGGGCTCCTGGGCGTTTGTCTCCCTGTGTGTGTGGGTAGCCTTTGCCGGGTCCTGGGCGTCTTGTCTTCCTGTGTCTCCCTTTGTCTCCCTTTGTCGTCTCCCTTCATGTGGGTGGCCTTGCCGGGTTCCTGGGCGTCTTGTCTCCCTTTGTCTCCCTTTGCTTTGCCGGGTTCCTGAGCGTCTTGTCTTTGTCTCCCTTTGTCTCCCTTCATGTGGGTGGCCTTTACCGGAATCCTGACCGTCTTCTCTCCCTTTGTCTCCTTTTGTCTCCCTTCAACGGGGTGGTCTTTGCCGGGTTCCTGAGCGTCTTGTCTCCTTTTGTTTCCCTTTGTCTCCCTTCATGTGGGTGGCCTTTGCCGGGTTCCTGAGCGTCTTGTTTCGCTTTGTCTCTCTTTGTGGGTCTTGAGCGTCTTGTCTCCCTTTGTCTCCCTTTGTCCCCTTCTTTGTCTCCCTTCATGTGGGTGGCCTTTGCCGGGTTCCTGAGCATCTTGTCTCCGTTTGTGTCCCTTCATGTGGGTAGCCTTTGCCGGGTTCCTGGGCGTCTTGTCTCCTTGTCTCCCTTCGTGTCCCTTCATGCGGGTGGCCCTTGCCGGGTTCCTGAGCGTCTTGTCTTTGTCTCCTTCTGTCTCCCTTCATGTGGGTGGCCATTGCCGGGTTCCTGAGCATCTTGTCTCCCTTTGCCTCCCTTGGTCTTCCTTTGTCTCCCTTTGTCTCCC